GAGATGTTGACATTTGTCTAAATCTTAGATAGGCAGTTATTGTAGTAAAATCTTATGAGTTGTATAAATACCTCATTCATGTAATAACTTCTCCGTTAAGTCATCAATACATGGAAAATATCTTTAGCTTTCATCTCTCTCTCTATCTCTAAATTCTCTCTGTAATATTGTTCTTACATGATCATAGTATATACATTAATATGGTATTAGAGCGAAGGCTCTGTGTAAGCTTGGGAACATACAACACAAAATTCAACTTAATTGGATGCACAAAGGGTTTTAAAATAGTGCTACCAATATGAGAAATAGGCAAACCTTCACCATTTGTTGTCTGAATGGTTTCATTAGAAGGTATGGTGATGCCAAAGAAAGACTGTTGAGATTTGCAATCATATGATTTGTTGCACCCGAATCAGTCAACCAAATCTGAGGAGTGGATTGAGATACTGGCTGTGATGATGGCTGAGAAACCACTGTATGCATAGCTTGCATAGGTGGAGAGGAAGCTTGAAATTGATTGCCTGAGAACTGAGACTGATGAGAAAATCCTTGTGGAGAATAAGACTGCATCTGAGAATACTGGCAAGTGGAACCAGCTTAAATGAAGTTGGGACCTTTCTTATTATAGAAACAAAAACAGGTATTGTGATTGAACCTGCCACAAATTGGACACTTGAGTTTCTCTGGTGGTTTAGATCCACAAAAAGCTGCAGAATGACCATCAACATTGCACAGTTGACAAGTGAGCATTACTAGAACAGAAGGGCTGGATGAGTATTGGTTTGGAAACTGACCAAGTACACCAAGAGATGGTGTTTGCAAAACATGTGTCTGAGTAGGATAATATGATCTTGGTTGAAAATGACGAGCATTTTGATTAAACATGCCTTTGCCCTATTCTTGTTATTATGGAACTGCTTAAATCCACCAGATATAAAACCAGATTATGTAGGCCATTTCTGAGAAGAATTAGGATGATTAGCCACCATAGCAGTCATAAAGGTGCATTTGTATTGGACTCAATGATAACTTCCTCAGCAAGCAATTGAGACCTGAATTCCTTCAATGAAATAACATTTTCTCTTCCTCTTATAACAGTTCTAAAGGTATTGTATTCTGTTGGTAATCCATTTAGTGCAAGAATAACAATATCTTCATCAGCAAAGTACACCCCAGCAGCAGAAAGATAGTCTATGGCCTCCTTGATCCGTTGCAAGTATTGAGCAATGGAATCAGATCCCTTTTTAATGGTTTGAAGATTAGACTTCATCTGAAATATGCTAATTTTAGAAACAGTGGAGAACTGCTCTTTCAGTCCACAAATCTTTAGAACTAGTGTTGCCAATAGCACATGACATAGTTATAGGAGATAATGTAGTTGTGATAAGCTGCATAAGTGCCATATCATGCATCATCCAAACTAAATACGCATCACAATCAGTAGAAGAAGAGGAATTCAAAGAATTCACACCAGATTCTATTGTTTCTGAGGAAATTCGAGATAGACAGAAATGAGATCCATCCACAAATCCTATAATTCCAGTACTTTCCAACAGTAATTGCATTTGGAAGTGCCAATTCAGATAGTTCGTATCATCAAGTTTAACATTTACAGATGTAGAAATTGAAGACACAAGTGCAGTTATAGGGGATTGGAGTTGTAATTAAGAAGAAGTAACCATTTTTCCCTTGAACCATTTTTCCCTTGAACAAATCACGAAAAACAACACGCTGTAGTTATAGATTTACCTCATAGAACACGCAGCAAACACTTGGTGTGCAAGAAACGCAGTAGTCAAAGAATCGAGAATCAGGGACTTGATCTACAATGTGAAAGATTCAACAAACCCTAGAATCAAAGAAGACGAAGAGATGTCAACAACACACTGTTATTGGCAGCCGATGATTTAGAGAAGATGAAATTGTAGAAATCAGAGGTGTGGAAGACTTAGATCGAAGCTTTAGCTGCGAGCTATCAAAGCTTTATCTACAAAAATCACACCTGGCCTGTACTAAAGAGTCTAATCCTAGTATATGCCAAAGTTGCTTAGAAGGAAAGTTCTGCAAATTACCTTTCCAGTCTACTGTCAATAAGTCTGTAGTACCATTTGAGATTGTATACAGTGACCTTTAGGGTCTTGCATCATGTACTTCAGTAGATGGGTTTAGATACTATGCCACTTTCATTGATGATTATACCAGATATTGCTGGATATTTCCTTTAATAAACAAATTCGACCTTTGTGCCACATTCATTTCCTTTTATTCATATGTACTCACTCAATTTAATTCCAAGGTTAAAATTCTGCAAAGTGATGGAGGGGGTAAGTACATCTCCAATAAACTGAAGTTTTTTGTGTCAGATAGAGGTGTTGCCCATAAAAAATCTTGTCCTCATACACCTGAACAGAATGAGGGTAGCTGAGCAAAAACATAGGCATGTAATTAAAACTACAATTACTTTGTTACAAACTGCAAAATTACCTTCTTAATTCTGGTCTTTTACCTGTCAAACTGCCATTTACCTTATTAACCGAATGCCTACACCTAATTTATCAAATAAATCTCCATTTGAACTATTATTTGGTTGTGTTCCAATTTATCTCATTTGCAAACTTTTGGTTGCGCTTGTTATTCACTTCTTAAACCCTACAACACCTCTAAGCTTCAAACCAAAACCACAAAATGTGTCTTTTTGGGGTACACATCCAAATATAAAGGGTTTATGTGTTTTGAAGTATCTAGGCACAAAATATATGTCTCTAGACATGTAGTCTTTTCTGAAAAGGAATTTCCTTATGCAGACTTATTGACAACAACAAAGTCACAAGTCATTCCTATTATTAGACACCCTGTGAGTCAAACACCAATTGTTACTTATGATAATGTGGTAATGCCACCAAGTTCATTTGTCTTCCCATCCCCATTACTATCATCTCCTGGCTTTATACCCAATTCACCAATGCACATTTATTCCAATGCCTTTTCTCCCAGATCACCACCTCATAGTAGCCCTTGATTTGATATATCATTGTACATCCCTCCTGCTTTCTCTCAGTCCATTACTAGTGCAACAAGTGATTTCTCTCATATGCATGTGGCACTTGACTATAATCCTGACAGTCTTCAAGTAGTATTGGATATTCCTCCTCTCAATCTGCATCCTATGCAGACAAGAAGCAATGGTGGTATTATCAAGAAAAAGGCCTTCTTATCAGTTTCCAAGGAGACTGACTTGTCTTAAACTGAACCTCTCAGTTACAAAACTGTCTTAAAAGTTCAGTGTGGTTACAAGCTATGACAGAAGAGATTGGGGCATTGTATACTCAGGGTACTTGGAGTTTAGTTCCATTACCACCGAACAAGAATCTTGTTGGTTGCAAATGGATTTTCAAAATCAAAAGAAATTCTGATGGGTCTATTGCACGACATAAAGCCCGATTGGTAGCCAAAGGATTTAGTCAGGAACCTGGAATTGATTATTGTCATACATTTAGTCCTGTGGTTAAACCTATCACAGTGCAGATTGTTTTTGCACTTGCTGCTAATTTCAATTGGTCTCTTCGGCAACTTGATGTCAATAATGCTTTCCTACATGGCATTCTTCAAGAAGAGGTATATATGGCCCAACCACCTGGTTTTGAGGACTCTACTAATCCTCACCTAGTATGTAAACTGCATAAATCTCTCTATGGCCTAAAACAGGCTCCACGGGCTTGGAATGAACGGTTTACCACATTTTTACCTAAATTGGGGTTCAAGAACACCTACTCGGATTCTTCCTTGTTTGTGAAAACTGTGAGATCTAATATTGTCATTCTCTCACTCTATGTGGATGACATTATCATAACAGGCAGTGCATCTCAGGTCATTCAACAAGTGATTTCTGATTTGACTTCTGAGTTTGATACCAAGGACTTAGGTCATCTCCATTTCTTTCTTGGTATTCAAATAAATGCAACTTCCACTGGTTTGTTCTTGTCTCAACATAAGTATGTTACTGATTTATTGTAGAAAACAGAAATGTTTGAATCCAAATCTTGTGAGATTCCTTGCTTGCCTTATAATAGGTTATTGAAGGATGATGGAGAACCATATTCGAATCTTGGTTTATATAGGAGTGTTGTAAGTGCTTTACAGTATCTCATATTCACCAGACCTGATATTGCATTCTCTGTGCATTAGGTCTGTCAATTTATGCAACATCCCATGGTTTCTCACTAGACTGTTATTAAAAGGATCCTACGTTATTTGAAAGGAACTAAGGAGTTTGGTATCACCTATTCTCGAGGAGACTTGACCCTAAAGGCTTTTAGTGATGCTGATTGGGCAGGTGACACTAATGACAGGAGGTCCACTACTGGTTTAGTGGTGTTTTTAGGCAGCAATCCTATATCGTGGTCTTTTAAAAAGCAACAAACAGTCTCACGGTCTTCTACTGAGGCTGAATATCGGGCCTTCTCTACAATTGCAGCTGAACTTGATTGGATTCAACAGATTTCGAGTTTTCTGCAAATCACACTATCATCACCACCTGTGTTATTTTGTGACAATCTCTCTGCAATCACATTGTCCTTCAATCCCGTACAACATCAACGAACTAAACACATCGAGATTGATGTACATTTTGTTCAAGAAAGAGTGGCTTCAAACAAACTTCAAGTGCAGTTTGTGTCTTCCAAGGAGCAGTTTGCTGATATCTTGACTAAGGGACTTAGTGCACCTTTGTTAACAATTCATTGCAGCAATCTCATGCTTGGGCTATCAAAGCATGGGTTTGTGGGGGGATGATAGAGATAGTGCACTTGAGATGTTGACACTTGTCTAAATCTTAGATAGGCAGTTATTGTAGTAGAATCTTGTGACTTGTATAAATACCTCATTCATGTAATAACTTCTCAATTAAGTCATCAATACGTGGAAAATATCTTCAGCTTTCATCTCTCTCTACTTCTAAATTCTCTCTGTAATATTGTTCTTACAAGTTCATAGTATATACATTAATAAGATAGATCAATGATGCACAAATTTGGGAACTCATGGTTTGTCGGAGGCTTCCCAATCTCTCCATGAAATCTATTAGACCGCAAAAGAAGAGCCCTAAATACGGGAAGTGACCCTAACCAAGATGGGAAGATGTCGTTGATGTGATTATTTCCAAGGTTGAGAAACTCTAACTTAATGCAATTGGCCATTGAACTTGGCAGCTTCCCTTGCAACTGATTGTAACTCAAATCAACCATTTTCAAACTATTTTTGTTTGCACATATTTGAGGAATATTGCCTTGAAAACAATTGTTGTGCAGGCGCAATATTTCCAAAGCACTGGAGTTCCCCAAACATTGTGGAAATATGCCTCTCAGGTTGTTGGACAAATCAAGAACCCGAAGGTAATTTAAGTTGCAGAACAATGGTGAAATTCCTCCAGTAAAATCATTGTTTCCAGCCTCAAAATCTATGATTGATTGTGGTAGAACTGGCAGTGATCCTTGTACCCTGTTAGATACAACATTAAAGTACACCATATTTTTCCATGGAAGAATATTGAGCGAATTTTGGTCAAATCCTGTCAAGAAGTTATAAGAGAGGTCGAGGACCTCCAACTTTTCTCTAGTTGCATTCCAGAACCATTTTGGTATTTGGCCATGAATTTTGTTGGCAGAAAGGTGTAGATCAATCAATTCGTGCTGATTATTTAAAAACTCAGGAAACTCTGTTAAGTTGTAGGAATCCAACCACAGGTGTTCAAACTTTGGAAGAGTAGCATTTAAATCGGGTTTTATCTGCAGAGATAACTGGTTGCCTGATAAATGAAGTGAAGCTAAGTTTCCAAGCTTAGAAAACTTATCAAAGTCAACTATTCCATTGAACTTATTGGAGGAAAGGACGAGATCAGTTAATTGGGTTAAGTTCATAATCCAAGATGGGATTTCACCAGTTATATTATTGAAGCTCAAGTCTAGAGATGCAAGTTGCGTCAGGTTAGCCACAAAATATGGAAAATTTCCCCGTAAGTTGGTATATGCAAGCCCCAAGAGATGAAGTTTCGTTAGCTTTCCGATCCAAGACCAGGAATCTGGAACTACTTGGCTTGTTTTGTTGGAATAGTCAATGTCGTAGAATGAAGAAATGTCAAGGTAAGTGAGCTGTGTAAGGTTTCTGAGGGAAGATGGAACATGGGGATAAAAATTGCAAAATGAGATGCTCAAAGTGTTAATGAAGGTTTCTGATAGAATTAGGCAACTGACCATAGAAACTTGTCTCGGCAACATCCAATACCTTGAAGGAATTGGTCATGTTAAAGGTAGGAATATAACCGGCTAGGTTGAAGTTTTCATACAAATCTAGTGCCTCTAAGTTTGGTAGCTGGAAAATACCTATTGGGAATTCCCCATACAACTGACATGTCCCAAGTGAAAGAACTGTGAGAGAAGTTGCATTCCTCAGCATTTCAGGAACGGTGGAATGTATGTCCACGTCGCTGAGATCAAGTTCTTTTATGCTGGTGAAGTTTTGGATTAGGCTTCTCAGGTTGGTTCTCTTAAGCTCCAAATCATTATTAGAAGACAGATCAAGGGTTGACAACTTTGATAGCTTTGAAATTTCGATTGGAATTTGGCCTAGAAAATACGGAATATGAGAGGTTTAGGTACGTCAAACAAGTAAGATCATGACCTAAACGTGATGCTATTGAAGAGAAATTGAAGTCATTATCCGAGAGGTCAAGCCTCTGTAAGTGAACGAGTTGAAAGAGGCTGCTGTTGGAATTGATAGAACCATAAAGAAAGCTGCTCCTGAGGTCAAGGCCAATGACATGGCGAGACTCCTCATGGCACTCAACACCATCCCACAAACAACAGTTGCTCCGATTTTGATCTCCTTCTCGCATCCAAGATCCAGTCTTTGGATATGCAAAAGGCTCATCAGAAGCAGATTTTCTGATCGTAAAGCTATCCTTGAATTGCAGCAAGGCAGAGCACTCATCATGGTGGCCTACGGTTTGTGTCTGCACAAGTGAGAAACAGAAACAATAGTGGGTAATATTGAGGAACATAAAAATAAAACATTACAATGAGAAAACATTACACCGCCAAGACGACCGCATTCCCATCTCCTGACTATGTAATTGTTATTTTATGGGTTTGTTGTATGTCGAATATGTCCTCCATAGCAAACTTAAATACACAATTACAGTGTGGTGTTCTTTTTGCTTTTTTTTCTTTGGATGATATAATTGATAATTAATGTGAACAAATAGAGAAAGAAAGAACATAAACGGCCGGGATCAGTGTTTCTGATAATGACACTGCGTAAACACAATAAGAATTGTCGTCCCGAGCAGCAGTAAAACATCAACGTAGAAGACTTGAAGTCGAGTGAGTGCTCTTCATTATTAAGTTGTCTATCATGCTTATCAGGCTAAACGAAAACTCTAATGTCTCTTTTATTTTTCTTTTCCTTTTGTCTGTCATGCTTATCACGCTAATAGAGATAATATAAGGTTATTAATTAATTAACCGTTAGATTAATCTAAATGTTTAGGCAAGCATTATTGCGATTTCTATCATATTTGTGCTAATTTTGGTTTATTATGGTATAGATATTTTTGGATTGTGATTGTGTATATCATTTCCTTATTCTTTATAAGATTGTATTTCTTTGGAGGACAAGTTAATCATCTCCTTATTCTCTACTATAAATAAAAGCACTGTGTAGTGGGAATAACATACAAATAAGAGATCCTTACACTTTCTCTACTCTTTGCCCACTCTTACTCTCTATTGCCGCACTCCTCTCTTTAAATAAGCTACAATACATTATCAGCACACTCCTCCGCCACTCTAGGTAATTTGATATGGAATTTTTTGCTAAAACCGATCCTCAATATTATTACTCAATCAGGTAATTCTTTCAAAACAATAATTTTAATCTCAATATTTTTTTCAACCATGGTTGCATGAACCTTCATTATAATGTATTGTTGGAAATGTGCCCTAAAACCAATCATATGATGATACTTTATGGACATTTCATATGTTAAACTAATCTAGTTTAATATTAAGGGCAAACATTATTGTTTGAGCCGTCTCATATAAATGTTATATGCTTAAACGATAAGTCAAAGGAATATGTGATTGGAAGAATGCGATCTAAAGAAGTTAGATTCATGAGACCATTCTTTCGTTGACACATCCTAAACGTTCCTGATCATAGGATTGTCAATTGGGCATTGACAGTCCGTTAAGATCAGTACGTGCTATGTCTTCTCTCAGGGAGAGTGACTAGTCTCGAGTCATTGGTGTGTGTGACATCAAGACAAGTACGTAGGTGCTCAATAGAGAATGAGTTCACTGAACACGATCAACGAAGAGTTCTCATATTCATGTCACATGAGAACTCATGGTTGGGATAATGCAAATTAGTCTTTTGACCTGAGGCATCACAGTTGTCTTGTGGTTAGGTCCTTAATCTTTGATTATGTCAAAGTCACTCCATCAGGAGGGTGTCCATGACATCGTTGGGGTTAAGCCACTTAGCCATGGAGGCAAGTGAATGCGCAACAAGGGATCTCTAACCTTCAAACTGTTTGAGGGAGAATACTCTATGATATGATTAAGAATCTTTGGCCAAAGTATGAATGAGATTTAGGAATGTGTTCCAAATCACATTCAAGGTAATCATATAAGCACAAGACTCACATTGGATAGTAGACATGAATAAACTATCAAACCAAACAATGTGGTCAAGAGTATTGTATTAGAGAAAGACCGTATTGCATTTGTAATCCTAAAACTGAATAGGTTCTCCACCTCTTCTGATTAGCTTGGGTAACCATGACATGCTGCTAGGCGTCAACCATGGTTTGTGGAAGCCCTAAAAGTGTATTATCACTAACGGGAGAATTGAAAGTAAGTTTCAATTCACAATCGATTAGAAAGAGTTTTAATCGCCCATTGCCTCGCTAAAAGGAACCTAATGGATCGTTCACCGAGTAAGGTAGAGTTTGAAGAAACAACGGAGATGAGTAAGAATAATTAAATGGTTTAATTATTTATCTAAGGCTAGGATTAATTAATATGTTAATTAATCAAACGAATAAGTTCGTTAAAGACCTCGGGTTAGTTTTGGGCCGCAAGGCCCAATGGGATTTGAATGTCAAGCCCATTAACTCAAGTTGTATGACAACTTGAATAAACAAAGGGCTTGAAAGCCCAATAAACCCTATAGGCTTGCCATGTTAGAAGAATAGGGCTTTTGGTCCATTAGGTCACCTATTTGAAGGGACTATATAAAGGACTTTATAGCCTAAAATTTACATATGGTAATTTTTGGGGAAAGGATGAGAACACAAGCTCTCCTTTCTCTCTAAAATTTAGGCCACCTTGGAGGGATCATCTAGCAATCAAACTCCTCCAAGGTCACTCATTTCTTCTTCATTATGCCTTGGTGATGAATCATTAGAGGTTCTCAATTTTGGGAACTTGGAGAAACCTTTTCATCCATCCAAATCCATGGATATAAGATGCAAGGAATGAAGGCCCTCTCTTTGGGTGATTAGCCTTTGCTTATGCAAAGAGGAATCTACAAAGGTATTGATTTCTCAACTCACTTTGTTTTGAGTTGAGTCTTAGTTCACCTATCTACTAGGCTTTGAATTTCATGGGTAAATGTTTTGTTTTTAAGTGCATACAAGCATGATTCCGCCTTTAATTGTTAATTGCATGCTATTGATGTTGCTTAAATGAACATGTTTTTCACAAATTTTCCTTCATGTATGACCTGTAAAGTCCCCATATTTTTTGTTGTATATGTGGATATTATTATTTTTTAAATAGAATGAACCTTAGATAAGCTTTTACATAGTGGAAAGGGATCCTCTCCGGATCCCTTCCACCAAATCCAACTCATCAATCAATTCAGGCCTTTGAAATTTGATCTAATGACTAAAATTATTATAACTTTTAAAGGGGTCATTTGTTTTTAGCCGTTGAGTCAAATTTCAAAGCTCCGAATTGATTGATGGGGTACATTTGGTGAAAGGGATCCGGAGAGGATCCATTTCCTTACATAGCTACTCACATGTTATGCATTTAGCTATGCATATATTCACACATCATCATTACCTTTATGACTGGGTTTTGAGTTGGAAGGATTAAGATGGAGGTGTCATTAACTTGCATATAATGGATAAGTGTCCATGTGTTTTTATAACAACAATTTCTCTTTTTATGTGATATTTAATTGCTTGGGGTTAAGAATAAAGTCAAGAAGAAAAAACTAAACTTTTCTTTGCCCGAACACAGTGATAAGAACTTGGAAACAATGCGATCCAAACAAAAACCAGCAGAGAAAAGGTCAACAGAAAAAGTCTCGGAAAACAAACAATGAATTTGCAGCCAATGATGCCATGGTTCTAAAATCAGTGCAATAGATGACATTTTTGGCTAACTGCTCTCTTAGCTAGAGGTGAACCATTATGGAATCTGTGGTCTGATTGTAGGTTTTCTCTGGTCTTGTTCTTGCCATGGGATTAAGGCCTTGAGGGTTTCTTTGCCATTTAATTTTTTGTTTTGGGAAATTGCCATAATAATCATTTCTCAAATCTTAATTTCGGAAATGATTTGTTTCTAGTATACTTGTCACATGATCGTTATGTCATCAAGTTTTAATTGTTGTATCGTCAATATTTAATAGGAAAGTCGTTAAAATTTAATGTTTGGTCATTTCAACCATTAAAATTTAATTTATGAGAATCTTTTTAATTTTTTATATTTCAGGCCTATGGTGGGATTAAAGGTACTTTTGGAAAGGAAACTTCCTCATTAAGGTTGCTAAAAAACTTATGGTGGTAAATTAAGGCAGCAGTGCAAGAGGATGCATGCGGTAAAATTTAGGGTACTCACTACTCAAAAAT